ATATACACCGTTACCCATGGCAACAGTCTGCAGCACCTATTGCCTCACCTGTCCCACATATACAGCGTTACCCATGGCAACAGTCTACAGCATCTATTGTCTCACCTGTCCCACATATACACCGTTACCCATGGCAACAGTCTACAGCATCTATTGCCTCACCTGTCCCACATATACAGGGTTACCCATGGCAACAGTCTACAGCATCTATTATCTGACGAGCCCAACAGATGGCGTTACCTGTGACGTTACGTTGCAGGAGCTGGTAAGGGTAAGGTTGACGTCATCATCCTCGATCCCAAGGGACAGAAGAACACGACGCCGGTGAAGCTAACAGACCAGGGAGACGGAACCTACCTCGCGGAGTACAAGTCCATGCAGGTCGGACTCCACTCCATTAACGTGTTCTTCGCTGGCAAACCCGTGCCGGGAAGTCCGTTCGGAGTTAGCATCGCACCGTGTAAGTGGCTCCCCCAGTCTCCCTCTTCCTCCTGTTCTCTCTTATTTTCCTGTCCTTTATTCACTCCCTCTTCCTTCTCCTGTTCCTTTTTTACCTCTGTCGTGTTTCTCCTCCTCCACCGTGTTCTTCTCCTCCTGTTCCTTCTTTACCTCTCTTCTCCTCATGTTCCTTCTCCTCCTCCTTCTTCTCCTCCGTCACCTCCTCCTTCAGTGTCACCAAGAGGAGGGTTTTGTTACTAGTAAGCAGTAATGCAGGAGGAGGTGACGTTGTGGGACAAGCTACGGTTATCGTATGTGTGTGTGACCGTGTGTACGTGTGTGTGTACGTACGTGTGTGTGACCGTGTGTACGTGTGTGTGACCGTGTGTACGTGTGTGTGTACGTACGTGTGTGTGACCGTGTGTACGTGTGTGTGTACGTACGTGTGTGTGACCGTGTGTACGTGTGTGTGTATGTCCGTGTGTACGTGTGTTTGCACGTACGTGTGTGACGTGTGCTTGTGACACTGTTTACTGTCTATCCACTCACACGTGTGATTATGATCTATATATACATGTGTGGGATATTCATCCTGCAGCTATGCACGTACTTTGTGCATGCTAGCAGCCTACCACACGTGGCCGTGCAGTACCTCTATCTGCCATAGACGGCACGTGTCAAGTCTGTGCTTATCTGTGGGGTAGTCGGCATGCGCATGGTCCGTCTGCGCGTATTTGCCATCGGCGACAGTCTATGTCCGAGTCTTGGCCGAAGTCGGCGTGCGTGCGTCTGTCTGCATGGTTTCTATAGCAACGCTATAATATGCTTTCTCCTGTCGCCTACTGTGCATGATCTCTCACCTTTAGCTATTTTAGCTATATATATATATATATAGCTTTTAGCTGCATGGCTCTGTCTAGCTTCGCTACTATGCATCGTGGGCTTGTCTGTTTGCCCCATGTTGTTCTCTCACTGCTGTCTCTATATCTACGTCATGGGCTGCGTCGCTACTGATGTTCACTTGTTGTTTGAATTTAATCCGCCCGGTTATCTTACATGTGCGCTACTTACCAGCTATTATATTAGTGTCCGTGTTGATCAGGCATGCTCGCTCCCGCTGGGGTGTCGGCTTTACAAAGTGCGAAAAACAAAGATTAACAAGGTCTTAACAAAACTCTAACCCCCTCTATGGAATGGTGATGAATTAATTGATTCGATGTTCGATTAACTGAAAGCGAATGCGATATATATGAAGTTTTGAATAATTAACCAGGTGTTGAGCCGGGGTTTGCTCGACCGCCGAATGCAGGATTATTGCGAGCGATTTCGAAATGTATTTAACAAGAAATATGTGAAATAAGCACGAAAACTTAGACATGTAAATGTCCATGAGCCTCCCCCTCACGGTATTTTACATGAATTGAATCAGTCGTCAGTCATAGATGTATCTGCTGTCACAGAATAATACGATATGACCAGCCTTTCAGTGAGAATCCTGCAAATGCAAGATAACCTGTTTGAGGGGAAAACACCCGCGTTGTTACGACTCTACTTGTCATTCTCTCGCTGTAAGAATCGAGTCATTGCGTGTGCAACGCTCGGTCACGCGTCACACTGAGGGGCAATAATCCCAGCGCTGCGATGTTCGCACCGCCGAGTTATGATGACTCATCAACATTCTTAATCATATTAGCACAGAGTGATTATTAACTCACTAATGAGTAATTGACCGGAGTACTGTGAGCGCGTGCGTGCGTGCATGCGTGCGTGCATGTGTCTGTGCGTGTGCGTGCGTGCGTGCGTGAATATATCAGTAGAAAGGTCACAGTAAATGTCTTCTCTACTGGACACTCACCACATTTCTTCACTCACCGCATGAGTTAATCATTTATTCGTTTGTCCCTCTCAATGGATTTAGTTAGCGATTCGTGCATTTCGTGCATTTTAAACTGAGAATTTCGTTTACTTTCTATCTCAGTTTATTTAAATTAACTTTGTTAAAGTGATGAGCCCCCCATATCACTCGTCAACGTTGTGTGTCTACGGTTTGCGTTTCACCGGTTAATTTCGCCGCGATCGTTAAGCTAATTGCCCGGGGGAAGCTCGCGTCTTCTCTGATGCTCGGGGAATCGCGGCAGTTGCCGCGGCGATGGCCTCGCATCCGCGACCTGGCAAGTGAAGGTCGATGCAAGGTCATGCCGCCGCCGCTGCCAGCTTCTCTCTTCCTCGCAATTCGCAAATTGAGAATTTCTCTCTCGCTGTCTGTTGTCGGTCGTGGCGGCCGCGGGAAAACGGCGCGGCTAAACCAGGCGAATGTTGGATCCCGTCCCTGAATACCGATCCATCCCGGAATATCGATCCATTCCGGGATGCCGATACATTTCGGTACACGACAGGAGATGACATTTCGTCTTGGTTGCAGTCGCACCATTTTCCCCGCTGCGTTCTCTCGTTGAACTTGTTTACTTCTTTCTTTTCACTTTTCAGTGGCATCTTCTGCCTAATAAGCCGACGATGACACCTCCGCCGCAATCCGCCGCTCCCGGGAGAGGCGTCTGCCGTTTGGCGGCCATGTTTGTTTTATCGGCAGCCGAACGTCAGACACCTCCCCCGAGGGGCGGGGCATAGCGAATCGCTTCCGGGGACCGATGGGGATTAGTCTGTGTGGGATGGACGCCGTGAGGTTGGCGTCCGTCTAACTTAGACTGGTTCCATCGTTCTCGTGCGTTGCGATGCGCCACGGCGGGGGTCGTCCGTGTGTGCTGTGGTGGCGGCCTCTGGTGTCTCTTTTTTTCGATATCGCACCTTTGCCGCTGCTTTCTGCGGATCACTATTGCTGTTCAGTCAAATACAGACGCAAAGACGACGACGCTCGATTGTTTCGATTGCGTAGTTGCGCTCTTTGCCGATAGAGGTCTCTGCTGTGCACCTTCTATCTTCTCGGCTCTCTCTCTCTCTCTCTCGCACTTTCCTGCAGTGCGTTTGTCGTTTCCCTCTCGCTCAGTTCTGATTGGTGTTTTTCCTTAATGTCTGTTCACCCACCTGTTGACATCTCCTCATCCCAGTGTTGTTCCTGTGATGTGTTCCCACCTTAGTGTTGTTCCGGTGGTGTGTTCCCATCTCTGTGTTGTTCATGTGACGTGTCCCCAACCCCGCTGATTGCATGTCATCGTTGCTTGTGTAGAGTTCTCACACGCGCCTGTGCGTTAGCGATATCTCGTGATAGGGGGCACCACCAGTGCGCTTCCACGCTCCTAGCCAATCGAAAATTGGTAGGAAGTTCAAGCGCAGCTGATGCCTTCGTCACGCAATATTGAGGGTAAAATTGTAGTGAATTTTGGCGTGATGTCTCGTCCAGTGTGCATGTACGTGGGGACAAACTGTAGGAAGCAATATCCGCACACTAGCTGTCCCCCGTTAACGATGTAGCGTTAACGATGTAGCTGTGTTAGCGACATAGGTATCGATGTATTGATCATAATATTGTTGCTAGGTTTAAAATATTAATCAGCCTAATGGATAGATTTACGAGAGCGTTTAGTTTGAACCAAATTCATGCCTGTGATGCAGTTTTTAACATTTTTTCATATTTAAAATAGAAAAAGATTAGTATAATGTGTATTTATGTGAACATGTAACCAATAGCCAGAATAACTGATGTAGCCGAAATTATATTAAAATATAGATAGACACTCATACTATTTATGACATCTAACTGCTAAGCATGCTCACGCTATGCCTCTCCACAGTGGCATTATGGGAACTGCACGTCTGTCACTCGGTGTCAGATGAAGTAAACGTAGTCAGTTCCCATGATGCATCGTGCGCGAGGTACGCGTGTTGGCGGCGCCACTAGTCCGTGTCATTGTCCGTCCCCGTGAACAACTCCCCGAGCTTTCCTCCGCCAGCAGCTTCGGCCCCTCGTAGATGGCGCCACGAGTTTCTCTGAGCTCTCCCGGTTGCCGGTGCCCCGCAGGTGGCGCCACCGTCAGCGTCTGGCGTCTCAGCTGCGTTTTTGGTTGTTCAGTAAGTGATCCAAAGAAGGTTCGTGCGGTGGGTCGCGGCCTGCAGAAGAAGGGAGTGCGTGTGAAGGACGTGGCGACCTTCACCGTCTACACGACTGGAGCAGGAGAAGGTCCCCTTAACATACGCATCATCGGACCAGGTAAGAGGGGAGGAACGGGAGGAGGGGAGGAGCGGGAGCAGGAGGAGGAGGAGGAGGAGGAGGGGGAGGGCAGTGATAATGGAAGGGTAGCGGTAGTGGTAATTTTGTCGAATTCAGTTGGAAAGCATTTACTCTCTATATGGGTTGTTTAGCATCATGTTATATAGCTTCCTGTTTTATTTTCATGCATCTGAAGCGAGGTCGCGAGGTTTGTATACCATCACGTGCCGTACCTCTTATCGTATCTTATCGTCGGATGCAATAGGCGTGTAATTTGCACTCGGCATTGTTAGATCGGTAGAGGACATTCTCTCTCTCTCGCGCGCATTCAGTCGAGAGTTCCCTCATCTGCTGCCTCTAGGGCAGGAAGTTTTCGCGGCGATTTCCCTGCTTGCATTGCTAGTATAAAGCAAGTAAAGACGTAGAAGGCGTGACGTTGTGAGAATTGGCCCGTAGCGCAAACACGTCTGTGGAACATGTGATCTAGATATGTCTGTGGGAGTGTATATAACTAAGGTTATGCAATTCACGTTAGTTACCCCCTGATTTGCCCCTTTCCACTATGGTGTCTACGAAACCTACGTGTAGATAATATGTGTGTTTATGTTTGTAACTACACCAGTAACAGTCTGTCTGCATTGCGCGTGTATCGAACTTCGCTAACCTCTCTCTCCGCACGTCGGTTCGCGCTGTGCTCACCAGGTGGCAGTGAGGAGCACTGCAGTGTGATAGACAACCTGGATGGCACCTACTCATGCAGCTATCAGCCCCTGTCCGAGGGACGGCTCATTGTACAGATCACGTGGGGAGGACAGGAGATACCGAAGAGCCCATACGAGGTACGAGAGAGGAGAGAGGTGAAGGAGGGGGGGAGAGAGGAGGGAAAAAGAGGTGGAGAGGGGAAAGTGGGAGAGAGCAAGGGTGGGGACAGAAAGATAATTTTTTACCAGTTCGTCTCCAAATTGATACTTCAGTTAGGGTAATTTATATCATCATGTCTACAATACTGATATCATTATTAGTAGGGCTGTAACGATACACATACCTCTCGATTCGATCCGTATCTCGATATTAGCCTCTCGATTTGATTCCTTCGATTTGATTCCCAAAATATTGAAATGTGATCTTATTTTGTATATTTTCATAATTTTGCAATAGAAACCATTTTAACCAACTATTACATTCATGCTTATTCTTAATTTTATATATATAACAAAATCACTTTAAGCAGATAATTAAAATAATAGGTAATAGGTCAAATGACTAGAAATTATGAGAAATTGCCAATGGATACTAATGGTGAATATAGAGACCCACTTATTTAAGCAAACATTACCTTTTAGTAGGTAGAATAAAAAGTCAAAGAATACCATACTTAAGTACGGGACACAGCCTTCCCAAAGAGTGATAAAATTGATTGTGGCTGTAGACATACTGAGAAGTCAATTAAGTACTGATCCTACTGGACAAAGCTTCGCCAAATAAATAATTAAGTGTCAAAGTGACCAGAAACTTAAAATAATATACATTAGAGATTCATAGAATCACAGTCACCTTGCCAAAATGCAATAAGATTGACAAATATAATTAATATTAATAACAAATATGTACGGTGTAGTTCTCAAACTCGGGGAAACTTGAGCCCTGTAAACAACGTGCTAGCGATGTGCTGTACCCGCTGATTAGCTGACTGGCGAGTCGTGACTATTGACCAATCAGAGCACGCGTCTCATACACACTTCAGCCGATGCATACAGTCTAAAATTGGAGCGGGTTGGATCGAATCGAAAATACGGGAAAAAATATCGAGGATCGGATCGAGGGAAGAAAATCGCGATTCGATTTCGGTGGATCGTTACAGCCCTAATTATTAGTCACAATAGTTGTTATAGTTATTTAATTAGTATCACTACATTTTGATTGTATTAAACTATAGATCTATATTTCCATTACCTTGCCCATCTTGCAGATCAACGTTGGAAAGTTCCTGGAATCCCGCGTTGTCGCCTACGGACCCGGACTGGAGGGAGGAATGGTCGGACACTCCGCTAACTTCACCGTGGAAACGAACGGAGAAACCGGCGCCCTTGGTGCGTGTGACGCGGAACCCCGCTGCCCCCGCGCGGGGAAACCGCGAGGATGGTCTTTTATTTCCGCCTGTTATAACTTGCGAATCAGCACGCGAAGGGGGAGGGAGCAGTGTGGGATGCTGCGGGAGGGGGAGGGGCAGTGTGGGATGAGGAGTAGAGAGAGGGTGACCATATGTTGGTTCATTTATATTTCATTAGACAGATATGCAGCTAGGGAGTGATCATGACCCACGAAGCGATTTCACCATCATGAATATTGCCAGATAGCTTTGTTACATCACGCAGACCAGCAGCACATTTTAATTGCATTTGGCACTGGTACTTTACAAATGCTAAATTGATTTATGAATTATAGATGAAATCCAATCGGTATTGTCAACTCTGTGATGGTTGGATTAGGGTGACTGTGATAGACAACCTATGAATCAAAAAATATCCAGGTGAAAATCCTAGCTGTTGTCATTCTACATGCGAACTCTTCACAATTGAATTAAACAAAAATTCGAATACAGGGCAAACACTGAGATCCGTGGAAACCTTCACAAAACACAGAGAAATGAGTTCATAACAGCTGTAGGCTGTAGCTTCATTAGCTGTTACTGATGCTGCATGATGCTTCTACCGCAACCCTCATAACTCACCCGCTATACGTGCGTGTGCGTGCGTGTGTGCGAGCGTGCGTGCGTGCGTGCGTGCGTGCGTGCGTGCGTGCGGGTATGACCATGCATACTACATCCTGTGATCGTGTAAGGGTACTACAGTGCCTCGTTCCTTGCTGCTATTAGAACTAGCTGCTGCTCCGTAGTTGTTAACTCTGCTGTGAATTGTCAGCCGGTCGCACGAATGCTTGCCTCATAGAGGATGGGAGAACATACACAGACATTTCTGCAGAGCATTTTCACTAACAGCTTACTGAGAGAGAGAGAGAGAGGCATGTTCCATGGATGAGAGACAATATATCCACGCGCTAACAGCATGCTGAGAGAGAGAAAGATGCGAACGCTCCATGGCTGAGAGAGAATGCGAGACTGTGTGACAGTCTCAAGTCTCCTGCTTACATAACTCCATCGTAAGGATGAAAGGATGACACCCACTGACATAACACCAGCATGAGGGCGCCACCATCATGGCCTTCCCGCCGACATAACACCAGCATGAGGGCGCCACTGATGCGTGCTCGCGTGACGACCGTGGCGTTGTCTCCTGCATGACACCGACCGTCTGTCTGACCATGTCACCTAACAGCATGAGGAGGAGGAGGTAAGAGAGGGAGGAGGAGGACCGCTTCCCCTGCATCCCTCGCCGCCGCATTCCTGGCCGCTCACCGCGATCCATTTACACACGCAGCTGCCGTCGTGAAGCAGACGAAGACGTTCAAGGTCATCACCACGGAGACGATCACCAAGGAGACGATGACGACGACGTCGATAACGACGACGATCACGACTCCCAAGGGCAAGAAGGTCAGCAAGAAGGTGAAGAGGACACCCGAGGGATTCGTCGTCGAGTTCCTCCCCGAGGAGCTCGGCGAATACGTCGTCGAGATCGCCATCAATGGCGTCACCTTGCCGACGAGTCCACACAAGGTCAAGGTCGAGCGCGCCGGCCCCCAGGAGGCACCGATCGCGGCGCCGCAGAAGGCCGCCCCCGTCGAGGCCGCCCCTGTACCGCAGCCGAAGAAGGTGGCGCCGGTGAAGGGCGCCCCGGGCGGCCCCAAGGGGGCGCCGGCAGCACCAGGGGCGCCGGCGGCACCAGGGGCTCCCGACCCGAGCAAGGTGCGAGCATGGGGACCCGGCTTGGAGCACAGTCCCGTCAACCAGCCGGCGGTGTTCACGATCGACACACGCGGTGCGGGGCCAGGGGGCGTCGGCGTCACCGTAGAGGGTCCGTCGGAGACGCCCATAGCAACGCGTGACAACGGTGACGGCACCTGTAACATCAGCTACGTACCGACGGCCGTCGGCGACTACGCGGTCAACGTGTTGTTCGCTGACCAGCCGATCACCGGCTCACCGTTCCACGCTCACATCACGCCCCTCGACGTCAGCCAGGTCAAGGTCACGGGGTCGGGAGTGCAGCCGGATGGTAGGCCGCCATCTGTTGGCATGCGTGCGCGTCAGGAGAGGGGGAGGGGCGCCATCTGTTGGCATGCGTGCGCGTCAGGAGAGGGGGAGGGGCGCCATCTGTTGGCATGCGTGCGCGCGTCAGGAGAGGGGGAGGGGTGTGTTCCAGCGGCGCAGGGGGTACCTGCGTAGAATGCGCTAGAGTGCAGAGCGAGGTTCACACATTCTGAATCGTACGTTCACAGAATATTCTGTATACACGCGGCGTGTGAGATTGGGTCAATGCTTCAACGTTAACTACCGTATTCGTTAATATTTCGCTTTTATGTTCATTAAATGTTTTTATCATTATTTCTTTCCATTTTCGGCCAGGGTGGTTCGCGTTGCGCCTCGAGAGTGCATGTTTCCTTACACAACACACGTCTGCAAGCTGCATTGCACTACTGTATTGCACTACTGTATTAGTTTTTACACCACTGTATTGCACTACTGCAGTCCACTATTGAAATCTGCTACTGTATTGCAGTAGGATATTGCACTACTGTATTGCAGCAACGTATCACACTACTGTATGGCAGTAAGATATTACACCACTGTATTGCAGTACTGTAGTTAATTGTCGTGTGTCAGCGTAGACTGTCCGCGGTGTTAATGCTGGCTTTCTATGTGCATGCACGCTAGGTGTGTTCCTGGATTCCACTACGGAGTTTGTGGTCAACGCTCAGCCAATCGCTCCCACGGGTCAGGGCAAGGTCAAGGCCACCGTCGTCAGTCCGCAGGGAGTGAAGACAGACGCACCCGTGAAGAACAACAACGACGGAACATACGTCTCGTCCTACACACCCTTCCAACCAGGTGATGTTCATCACAGAACATACGACTGTTCTTACGCCCCCTTTAAGCCTGGTTCATAGCAGAACACTTGTCTCATCATACACACCCTCCATGTTGATTATATTAGTCACTGGTAGAGGGCGCCACTGATCCCCCTCTCGCTCTCTCTCCCGCCGCAGGACCGCACAAGGTTGACGTGACGTATGAGAACGTCCCGGTCCCCGGCAGTCCGTTCAACGTCAACGTTGTCCCCGGCAACGACCCAAACCGCTGCCGTGCGTTTGGTCCCGGACTGCAGAACGGCGTCACCGACGTTCCCGCTCTGTTCACCGTGGAAACGAAGGGTGCAGGCGCAGGAGGCCTGGGTCTGGCCATTGAGGTAACAAGAACAAAAATAGCGACAACAACGACAATGGCGACAACGACGACAATGGCGACAACGACAATAACTATGCCAATAATATTTTTTTTAAATTAGTAAATAAATTATTAACAACAAGATAATACATCATTGGCGTCGTAGTGTTGTCCGTAAGCTGCTGCTGCCGTCAGCCGAATGACGGCCGGAGACGTTGCCATGGTAACGTCGTTTCTGCTGCAGGGTCCGTCGGAAGCCAAGATGACGTGCAAGGACAACAGGGATGGAAGCTGCTCTGTAGAATACCTTCCCACAGAGCCGGGAGACTACGATGTGTCCATCAAGTTTGCTGAACAACACATCCCAGGTGCGTGGGAGGAGGGGGAGGAGGGGTGTGGTGTGGGTCTGTGGGGTTGTAAGGGTTAGGTAGTTGTTCAGGGTTGTGTTAGTCCTTTATTTCCTGACACATGAATAGTAGCTGCAAGGAAACTGAGATCTTCAATCAAATTTCTCTCCGCATTATGGCAATTACAATAAATCTAATCAGCAGTTGATCGAATTCAATCAAACGATTAGACGTTTTCGCCGTCCCCGCGCCCTCTCCCTCGCGTGGTACGGAGGCTGAGAAACTCGCTGCTGCTCATCCCGCATCCTCCGTCGTCGTGGTTACAGGAAGTCCGTTCCACGTGCACGTGACGGACACGGTGGATGCTACGAAGGTTCGTGCGTACGGACCGGGGCTGGAGCCGAGGAATTGCCGTGCCGGAATCCCTGTCTCGTTCAAGGTCGACTCAAGGAACACGGGCAAGGCTCCCCTCAACGTGCAAGTCACGTCCGATAGAGGTGAGCGTCTGGAGGAGGCGGGGGGGAGGTGATGTGTTACGAGGTGATGAGAGATGGTGAGAGTTTGAGGTATTTATCCTTAACCACTTTGCATTATTGTCAGCAATATAAAAATGTAAAATATACAAGAAAAATGTGTTGGTTGTAGTATAAAAAGAATCGTGTATTGTTTAGTTAGGTTCAGTCGAGGCTTCAGCAAGGCTTCAGTGTTCGCGTGATATCGTGTGTCAGCTGGCCAGCGAGTAACGCGGCGCGCGCGTCGTTTCGTTGTTCGCTCAGGACCCGTCCCGCAGCCACAGGTCACCGACTGCGGCGATGGAACCCACGACGTCACCTACATGGTGCCGACGACAGAGGGCGCCACTGTCGATGTCAACCTCAACTACGGCGGACAGAACGTTCCAGGAAGGTCTGTGCTCACTTACAATCTGCATCCGCGCGAATCACATGGTCCTCTAACGTGATCACTGATTATATTGATTAATTAAGTAACTCTAATTAATTAATTAATTAAGGCACCAGTCATAGTTCACTGTGCTATTCCATGTTGGGATAAATATTGCTCACAAACTCATTGCTGACAAAGATGAGTCCAAAAAGGCTAATAAGTATAACACCACTAACCGTGGCATGCTAAGACGTCGTCCCGTGGTTTGCAACGTTGTTGACGTGGCCGTTACCTTTCTCAGTCGTCCTGCTGCACGCGCAGTATCCGTGTCGAATCGTGTATCTGACTGCGTGATCTTCTTCAGGTGTACCTGAGTGAACCCAGCAACCCGGCAGCAGTGAAGGTGCATGGCCCCGGCATCGAGAAGGGAGTGACCACCAACCACCCGACACACTTCACCGTCGACTGCACCAAGGCTGGACCAGGTAGCAACCCCCCTCCCAGCATCTAGCTCATCCCTCGTCCCCATGTCCACCTCCAGCCACGCCCTCCCCCCATCCCCATGGAGGCTGAGTGGTGGTTGCATGTCAGTGTAGAGAGGGGAAGAGCGAAGAATGTATAGAATAATTGATAATAATTTATAGAATAATAAAAAAAGGCTATAGAATGTTCTAGAATAATTTCGTAATCTGCTGAATAGAATGAGGTTTCTAGAGAGAAGGAGCGCAATAATAGGTGACCGGTCCTCTCGCGTCTCGGCATCGCGTCACCGTGGTAACGACCTCGTTTCAGGCGACGTTCAGATCGCGCTGACCAACGACAAGGGTCAGGACGTCCCGATCGACATCCACGACAACAGCAACGGCACCTTCACGATCGCGTACAAGCCGGCCGCCGTGGGTCCGCACACCGTAGCTGTCCTGTTCGCGGGCCAGGAGGTCCCGCACAGCCCCTACAAGGTTCACGTCAACCCAAGCTTCGACGTCAGCAAGATCCACGTCGAGGGACTCGACACACGTAAGTCACGACCGCCAGGGGGCGCCTGCGTGCGGGGGAGGTGCCGCCTGCTAGGGGGCGCTGTATGCTGGGGGAGGTGACATCAGCGGATTTTAAACTGTCGTGGTAGAATTTTCGTAGAGAGAAACAAGCTCGATGTATGTCCTCACGGCGGGTTTTATAATTCGTGTATACTCTATGACACCTGATATCGATCTATCGATCATTGCTATTCGTATTTCTCGCTGCGTATAACGAGGAGAGGTTGAGTCGTTAGCGTTCACGTTGATGACTGTGATTCTGTGTAACTTGTGTGTCGGTGCGTGCATGCTGCGATGTGAGTAGAGCAGCCTACTGCTACTACTGTTGCTGCTCGCTGCTAGTCCTGAGGTGTGTGTGTGTGTATAGGCGTGGCAGCGGGCCTCACGCGTCAGTGTGTCTGTACTGTTACCCTTAACCTCCCGCTAACACCAACATCACACGTGCCGCGCGTCGGTCGCACCGTGGACGCCGTAGCAAGGAGGACATTCGTTAGAATCATTGTCAAATATTTCGAAAATATCGCCATAGTAACTCGACTCACGCCACTCCACCGACAATGTCACCGCACGTGTCACCGATGTGTGATGTTGACGCGCTGGTTGCCGTGGCGACAGAGATTCTTTAGATACTGTCGCCACGGCGACGACAGCGGTAACACGGTGGGCGTGTCTTCTCTTCTTTGACATGCAGCCTTCGGTGAGCATAGACGAACGTGTAGCCATTTATCTACTCTCAAAGGTATGGTAGGGTTGTTCCCTTCTACCAGCTAGCTTCCCACACACAGAGAGAGAGAGTCACACACTCTATATAGGAGGCACTCGCACATACACGTGGCTGCTGCTGTGTGTGCATGCATGTGTGCGTCGTGTGCGCGGCGTACACGTGCGATATATACGTGTGTAGGATTCACAGTGTCATGTCACACGTCTGCTGTAGGTTGTAGGCAGTAGATACTCTTTCTCTTTCTCCCTTTTCTTTCTCTCTCTCTCTCTCTCTCTCTGTCTCTCTCTCTCTCTCTCTCTCTCTTTCTCTCTGTCTCTCTCTCTCTCTCTCTCTCTCTCTCTCTCTCACAAAAAATAGTTCCGCATTACTGTTGCCTCGTGTTTTTTTCTCGCGCAGTTTTTTTATCTTCGGTAATTGATCGTGGTGATTAGTTGACGAATAACGAGCGTCGCTCGATCGTTGTGCGCGGGATGCTGCGACCGCATCCCCCCGGCAACGATGAGAGCGATTCTCAGCATCTCCACGGTAACATTATCTGCTGCACGAGCGAGGGAAGCCATGCTTCGTCTATTTATAGTGAGGCGTCATCACCTCCATCCTACGCTCCTGTCTCCATCCCCGCGGCCCGCGTACAGTAAACACGCTCTCCACCCTACGCTCCTGTCTCCATCCCCGCGGCCCGCGTACAGTAAACACGCTCTCCACCCTACGCTCCTGTCTCCATCCCCGCGGCCCGCATACAGTAAACACGCTCTCCACCCCGCGCTCCTGTCTCCATCCCCGCGGCCCGCATACAGTAAACACGCTCTCCACCCTACGCTCCTGTCTCCATCCCCGCTGACTGTGTTATGTCGTGTATCCGTTACGCTACTGCAACGACGTTTTCCTATAAAGGTCTTCTCAAGTGCAGACCGCACTGCTTGTCTTTAGACTTCAAAGGTCTCTCTCTTCGGTTAGTTATTGGCAGGAAATGGAGTTCTTTTGCCAAGCTTGTCTCAGTTACACTATATGTCTCCTGATTATAGGCTGTGCCATTGAGGGACCATCTCACATACACTATCATTCCCCTGATTATAGACTGCCATTAAGGGACCGTCTCAGATATGTTATAATTCTGCTGCTTGTAGGCTTTGACATTAAGGGACCGTTTCCATAATTCCTTTCTAGGCTTTGACATTGAGGGACCATCTTTATAATTAATTCCTTTCTAGGCTTTGCCATTGAGGGACCGTCCCAGGCTCGCATCGAATGCCACGACAACGGCGACGGCTCGGCTGACGTTAAATACTGGCCGACGGCCCCCGGCGACTACTTTGTTCACGTTCTGTGTAGCGAGCAGGACATTCCTAACAGCCCCTACCATGTCAAGATCTTCCCCAAGGATGACAGCGTGCACCCAGAGAACGTAAGTTGCTCCTGATCGTTTACTCTATGTTCCTTTATCGTTGTTCTTTTATCAGCGAGCTCCTATGTTGTCGGGGGTGTGTGGCACCGTAGGCATGGTACGTTCAGCTATTACTCTCTTTCTCGTCCTATATCTCTATTGCTGTGTGATCTATCTAGGCCCCCAACGGCGAGCCCTGCAAGGCCTCCATCGTGGACAACCAGGACGGCACCTACAAGGTGGACTACCTCGCAGAGGACGTCGGTCGCTACACGATCGACGTGAAGTACGGAGGCAGACCCGTCCCCGGCGGTCCCTTCACCACCGACGTCGTGCCCAGCGGCGACGCCAGCAAGGTCAAGTTCAGAGGTGAGACGGCCGGACGGACGGTCATGCGGGGGACAGGCTCGCGTCAGTGCGAGTTAGTCAAACCTCTCGTCTGACGTGTCGAAACTCGTTCGAGATCGTATCGCGTTCGCTCGCTTCCTCGGTTTTCAATTCCCGTGCGCGGTTGCCGCGGCAACGCTTCACGATTGCTCGTTACTGTTGCAGAGCCGATGCCCAGTGTCGTTGCCGTGGACGAGGAGTACATTGTTACCTTGGATACGGCTAACGCCGGCAACGGTAACATCACGTGTCGCGTGCGCAGCACGAGCGGCAAGGGCGACGTAGACATAGACATCCAAGACAACGGCGACGGAACGATGAGCGTCTTCTACAGGTCAGCGCCCCCTACACTCACATGCAGACAGCGCCCCCTATACTCGCATGCAGACAGCGCCCCCTATACTCGTGTGTGGGCAGCGCCCCCTAGCAGACGGATCACGGGGTCAGAGGTCGTTTGGCGGCTGGGTGTAGCGAGGCGTTGCTGGGGTTTCTGTCGTTATTAAGCAGTGATCTCTCGTTACATTTCAGGCGGTGAGTGTAAAATGCTGATGTGGGTCAATGAGGTTCTACAGTGAGACTGGGATTTGCTGTGATCACTGTTTGACTATGAATGGGTGTTTATTGTTGATATAAGTGTGATTATGAGGCGTTGATAAGTGTGTGTTACTGGTGTTCTTTGCTGCAGACTTAAGGAGCAGGATCAATACAGCATCAACATTAAGTTTGGCGGCCAACCCGTGCCGGAGGGAGATTTCACCGTCACCGTAAGTCTCACTCAAACGCCCACCGGCGCCCCCCGGTGACAAGAAACGCCCACCGGCGCCCCCCCGTGACAAGAAACGCCCGCTTACGCTGCATGTCCCCGGACGACGTTTAGATTATATCTTAATCGCATTGTGAGATTCGCTGTAGGAACATGTTGGTATTTATCACTCGGTCAATAGCAAGGCAGTAGTAGCAGTTACTAATGGCATCAGAGAATGTAAGAGCAGTAACAGCGTAGCAGTGTGAAGCGTGAGCACGCAGCAGCAGGTGCTGCGGCTGTGTACCCTGCATCTAGGAGCCTCTCCTCCCTACTCGCAGGCCAGCCGCGAGGAGGTTGTCACTCAGGAGAAGATCGAGACAGTGCGTCAGACCGCCACTAAGAAGTACAGACAGGTGCAACTGGAGAAGATTCCGATAGCAAATGGCCCCCTCACGGGCAGTGTGACAGGTACGCACGTCGTTAACACACCTGCGCGTGACAGGTACGCGCGTCGTTAACACACCTGCGCGTGACAGGTACGCGCGTCGTTAACACACCTGCGCGTGTCTCATAACTCATAACCATGTTTCTGTCAACAGTCTTGCGAGACAATGTTAACGTTATAAAACAATTTTAAGACTAACTTTATTTCTGTCAACGATCTACGAGACAACGTCAAGTCTGATTTTGGGACATTTGATAGATGGTTTTTCTTACGACGGGCCCCTGGCATGCATGCTCTACGGAGGTACGGACACAGCCAATAACAGAAAGCACGGTAACAGCAGATGACAGAGATGTAGTTACAAGGTGTGTGTGTGATCGTGAGTTGTCTACCTGTTCGCAGGTGAGATAACGACACCATCTGGACAGAAGGACATCCCGCGTCTGCATGACAACAAGGATGGCACCGTGACGGCTATGTACCAGCCGATCGAGGCGGGACTCCACGAGCTAGCCATCCGCTACGACGGATACCCCGTACAGGGTACGTGTTAGAGAGAGAGAGAGAGAGCGAGAGAGAGAGAGAGAGAGAGAGAGAGAGAGAGAGAGAGAGAGAGAGAGAGAGAGAGAGAGAGAGAG